TATCATCCAAGTCAAGTTTTCTAATTATTCACCCCAGATTTCTATATCCTTTAATGGTCGGCTTCTGATGATCATGCTACTCAGTACGTCTATCTTCATTCTGTAGTTGTGATGAGACTAGGCGCCTACGAACATAAATATATTAGCGAAACTGGGATAAAAATCAGCCTACGAATCAAGGAACATAAAAGCCTCTTCAGTAAAATGGATACTGAAAGATAAGATTTAGCAGAACACATCGCAGAGATTGGACACAAGATCAATCGGAAGGCAACATAAATTAGGGCCCATATAGTGAAGGCATAAAGAAACGGAAGATTAGGGAGGCTCTTGACATCCTTCGGGGAAAATATTTAATGAAGAGGAGATTGAAAGAAGACATAGTTAGTGATAACTTTCTTCATTGCCTAATCAAACTATAGGAAAACATGGATGCAACAAGAAGAACAAAAAGGAGACGCCTGGATCAAGGATATCTCATAAACCATATAAAAATGGATCGCAAGGACGATGATTGTGAAGAAGTTTAGAAAATGAATAGAAGACGTTTATATTGAGTGCAGTCAACTACAACTTTGGGGCCCGACGTTTCACATGACTAGAGGGAGAGATTTGGACACATTATGACCAAATAGACAAATAATCCACTTGGGATGCAGCAGGCGACCAGAGAAAGATATTCGGAAATCAGAGCCTAGGCGCTTTGTAGACGAGACGACATTGTACGTGCTCCTGCAGGCTTGTGTAATAGTGCCTGGATTAAAGAGTAGACAGGAGCTGGAATTGAGTGAGATCGGCCAAGCAGAAAGATAAGAAACGGACCTACGAGCCAATGAGGCAGATACGGACAGGAGATTAGAGTAGGATCAGCCACTCGAAAAGGAGGGGAGCAAGGTGAGCAGCTGGTGTGATGGCTTAACGGTGCATTCACCAAAAGGGCACATAAATTGTGTGAAGAAAAGTTGGGTTTCGAGGCATCTCTTGTTTCATAATTGTTGAGCTGACTTCCATTTCGAGTGAAAGTGTTGGGTGAAAAGATTCGAATGTTGGTTCCAGCAGAAGACGACGGCGGATTCCTCTTGACCAGCTGTCGATTGGCTTTACTGGAACATTCATGCTGACGCTGAATTCCTCTTGACCAGCTGTCGATTGGCTTTACTGGAAGATTCATGCTGACGCTGTTTCCGAGGCAATCTGAGTCCTCTTGACCAGCTGTCGATTGGCTTTACTGGAACATTCATGCTGACGCTGTTTCCGAGGCAATCTCCTGCTTGACCAGCTGTCGATTGGCTTTACTGGAACATTCATGCTGACGCTGTTTCCGAGGCAATCTCCTTCGATTCTGGTGAAAAGGTGCTAAGCTTACATCCGTCATATGACGAACATTATCAGAGCAAGGTATCATCGTCAAAACAAAATTCAAACTAGCGAGTCAAGAAAACTCTTGTGGAATAAAAACATGTCACAAGTTGTGATAGGAATGATATCGCAAAGATTTCGCTAGAAAGATTGGTTGAGGGATTGACTTCACTTGTCTTTTTGACGAGTTGTAGCTTGGCGCTGAGAATGGCCAGATTCACTGACGA